TTCCATCGAGCCGTTTTCTCAGAAAAATGCCAACACACACACATACATACCCTGCGTTTTTATTCTCATCAAATTTTATCGATGGATCCACCATTCTATGCCGGTCATTGTCATTTTCCATTCACTAAACAAAGATAGCTAACTCATCGGTGAATCCACCGATGAGAATAAAAACGCACATATATTGTTTGCCCAGCGGATCTGAGTCTACGAAAGGAATTCGGACGTAAATGTGCGATGTTGCCACGTTTAATTATAAAAAAAGCGAGAATACTAGGCATGAAGTATAGTTCATTTGAAAATCCATTTTTTAATAACAAAATGTAGATAACAATAAAACGCTAAATATTTCAACGTGGTTGTTAGATCTATGCTTATTTTAATAACTGATTTCTTCAATTTTGTCTATTGTAAAAAATAAACATTTCCTAAAGAATCCATCAGCTTTTGACAATTTGGCAAGGATCCGGCCTGGATGAACCTGATTGGTGGAGTTTTTGGCAGGATTGCCATTGCCACGGGCAACCATGCAATTGTCAGTGGGCTAACGTCACCTTACGTCTCGCTATTGGCAAGGGCTCTTGTCATTTTATCCTCCCATCTTGGAATATCGATTTATATTGAAATATCCAGTGGCGGCGGTTTGGTCATTGTCGATTTTCGTGAACGAGTTGCAATACGATAACATTTCCAAAAAGTTCCGCACGCAGCTGGGTATTTTATGAATGAAATCAGCCATTTTTTTTTACAACTGCATTCCCCTTACCCCCCGTAGACACAGAGTCGCTGGGCAGACATTACATACATACACACAGACGGAAATGTGCCACCTTGCCAAAAAGGCTTAAAATGATCCAAACGTCAAGATTTAATGAAATTTTGACATGGTCAAAATCGGGCTATCACCATAGCTTCCTATCTAGGAAGCTAAAAAGGAGGTTAGAGGCATTCTTGTGTATGGGGTATTAACGAAAAATTCCCATATTATATTAAAGTAGGAAAATATGTACTTAATAAAATAACTGCAACAAGGTATAAATTTAAAAAAATTATCTTGAGGACCGGCTTCTCAATAGCAAGTCACCCCCCCGGTTAAGCATAACTCCAGGGTAAACATTGCAAGTAGATACGTTCACCCTGGAGTTAAAATCAACCCGGAGGTGACTCGCTATTGAGAAACCGACCCTGAGAAGTTAATAATGCTCTATTCACAGTGGTAGTTGTAGCTGTTTTGTTGCGTAATTTTTTTTGAATAAGGTTTACATTTGATAATTTTCTCTCGCATTTTGCGTTGGAATAGGGAATCGAAAGAACTGGGCAGGGGATGCCACGTTGCGTTCACAAAGTGGATGAGGTGCTGACTCTGTAGATCTTTTTCTTCACTATAATATCTAGTGAGGGAAGGTCCAACATGGCTATTGCGGAGATTGGACAGGTGTTCATTGCTCCTGTTCAAGACACTCTTTCGAGATGTTAGCTCCAAGTAAGTTTCCAATTCAAGGTGACTCCCAGATACTTAAACTCCTTTGCGAAGTGGATTTGAATCCCATTTAAGGTTGGAGCTGTTAGATTCAGCCTCCTTTTCCTTGTAAATGGCAAGCCCCTTTTGTATACACCATATCTAATAATAACATTAATGATCCTTTTCTCTGTCATGCTTAACCCTAATGATGACTGTGAGGTCGTCAACATATCCTAGGACCGTGATCACTCGGGTGCTTACCGCGTTGAGAAGTTTATCTACTACCAGTGTCCATAGCAGTGGGAACAGTACCAGACAAGAAACTAACCCCCCTATTTTCCCTATTTACTCCTTAAAAATGTCGATTTCATGAAAGACATCTTCTGTACAAGAGAAAATTATTAATTTCGCTACACTTATGCAGTGGCCAGTGAAGATCGACCAACACTAGGGTTTCACGATGTTCAAGAAATTTCTTATTCTTGAGTTGAATTCAAGAAAATTTCAAGTCAAGAAATTTGAAACTGTTTCGGCTATGATCGGGATCCCATACCCCCATATATCCTTCATATGTATGAAGGTATCTCGTTCCTATTCAAGTAACAAGCTGGTAGAAAAAGACACAGATACACTCAGTACGCACTAACCCTTCCAATAGAACGAAGTCACTGGGAGTACACGGAGTGACCAAGTCGAACTCAGCTAAGGACGAAAGCGTTTGTTTGAACTCCAGTTGATTTGAAAGTTGTTGACTCCAAGCAGATCTTCCTGATTTTTCGGGTGGTAGGTAGAACAAGTACAAAGAGTCCTATTTGCTCAGTTGTTTACCAAACTCAACCCATCCGCGTGATGAGTGCAAGACTTTCGTTGGTATTTCAGAATATAAGGCTTATGCTCCAAGTGCACATTGACACAAATGAGACGATCCCGTCAGCCAGACGTATAATTTGACAGCACAGCACGATTGCCAAGCAAGACCGAGCAATGCGTTTCCAAAGTGGTTTCCAGAGCGACGGCGAAAAACGAAGATTGCTTCTTTTCAAGCAATTTCAAGAAATTTCGAGATAACTTGTATTCAAGTCAAGACTTTTGCTTCCAAGAACCCATTGAGTCAAGACATGTTCCATTTCTTGAATTTCAAGTCAAGTCAAGAAATTATGTTCAAGTCAAGATTTCTCGTCTTGATGGAACCCTAACAACACCGCTCAAGGATTAGAACACTGGACGCTGGAGTGCCTCAATAGTCAGTGCTTGGACTTCACTTGCACCAATGGCATCGCGAAGATTGTGTGATTTCCCAACCTAAAAATCTAAATTGATCAACCAGAAACTCTTCTTGGAGAAATGCAGTCAAATCACAGTGGCAAATGCTGGAAGCAAAAGAGACTGTGCAGCTCAGAATGATCGTCAATTCACAGTTTGTACGGAAAAAGTTCTACAATAGGAATCGATAGGAGACTTTGCTGTGCCTGAACTGACAACTCAGTAGGTTCTCACAAAGTTATTTCCAGGAGAATAGGAAAAATCTCTTTGAGGCTTAATGGTGGATGAACTACTAGGAATACTGCGTTGCAGGTATGCCGATTACATCGTCATCATAATAATAAAAAAAAGTTTGAGGGCATCCTGTGTGAACTCATACAGACTGGACTCAATTACTCAAAGCAATGGAGGCACAAGTATCTTGAGATGGATATACACCATGGTCTGGTTGAAGGAAGATGAGAAGCAGAACATAAAAGCAGCTATCAACAACCTACAGCGCCTGATGTGCACATTTGTTACAGGCCGTGCTGGCAAGTTTATTCCGCTCTTCGAGCTGCCCAGTAATGATCAAAACATAATTTTGAAAAACGCTTCACAGTAGTGATTAGAAGCAGAAGAAAGTGGAAAGGAAGCACCACATTTATTCTTACATACACCAAAACGCCAACAAGGGATGCGAGCAGGTTTACTTGGACCTGAAATCAAGTCCTCCACTTGCTAACGCTGATGACCTCTTCTCGTATCCCACTGATGAGCATGAATTTTTATTTCTATTTTTTTATGGATTTATTTTCCAGTAAAAAAGTAAATAATTTGATAATACATAATTATAGTATTTTAGGCGTACTATAATGAATGATCTTTGATAGTACATAACCATTCAATTATAGTACAAATACTATAATTAGAGTATGGTTGGCAACACTGGACACATTTACCCTGGAGTTAAAACCTCGGTTAAAGCCAACCCAGAGGTGACTCGCTATTGAGAAACCGACCCATACCTTATTAATGGCGATTAATAATCTCGCTCATATTAAAATCTCTTGATTATCAAACATTCTCATTAAAACATTTGTTTCTCGATTTGTTTGTTAAATAACTATTAGCTCATTGGGAGAGAGAACCTTGGAGACAACTGCATATTAACATCAATATCCTGTCTCAACTCTTCAACAATAGACCACACCTCTTTGGAAATATTCTTTGAGTTATCCAGCCTCTGACTGTGGTAACTAGTAAGTTATCTCCGCCAACCGTACCACCCTCATCCTTTAAATAATTCAGTATTGGTTAAAATAAGATACTTATTGGAAAGGAATTTTCAGAGAAGAGCATCCTGAGGTAATGCAAAGCTCGCATATTTCTAGAAGATACCTTTAAAGCTTCAGTTAGGTAACTGGTGTATCTTCGACTTTTTTTTCAATTTTAACAACAGGAATTGAATTATGAAAAATTCTAATTAACTTTAAATCTCGCTTTAAATAGAAACAAAAGCAGTTAGTTTTTCTGCAGTTGTCACAGAAGTTGCTTTTTCTTTTTACTATAGATTCACCATTCTTGTGAATGATTTTAGATTTCCTCACATTAATTTGAAACCGAGTTTGAAACAAGCTATTATAGATTCATGGTCAGATAGTGACGATTTTTTTACACAAAAATCAGAATCTCTTAGGTTTGAGCTTATTTCTGGTTTGAGCAAATGTTGTCAATAGTAGATGCCAAGTGCTTAGTAATTCTGGTGTTCTTCAAAACAACAAAGCAAAGCATTTTTAAGTTAAAACAGGATAATCAATACATTTTTTATTGGGCCCCAGAGTTGCCGTTATAACTGATAATAAAATCTCCCGAGAGAACCAAAGAACAAGAAGGTGGAAACTGACTAAGCAATGCCAATGCCTTCAAGCTTTCAATAAAATTTAACCGGCTTGCTAAAGGAGGATGATACAGACAAATAAATTTACTTCATCCCAATGAAAAACAGAAAATTCAAACAGAACAGAAGTTATAGTTCTACACAATACTCTATAATCTTGAATTGAATAACAGTTTAATTTTTTTCCAAGTGAGTAAAATTGGGTTGAACTTGCTTATTTTCAATTTATAGTTTGTAAGTATACAATACTTAAACAAAACTCAGCTTTTGAAATAGAATTTTCCAGTTTGTGGTGTAGGAAGCAAATTTCTACCTATCCAGAAACCTTGCTTGTAAGGCAATTGCAATTCCGTAAATAAATTCATTCATAAAAAGTCTAATTTTATACCTACCTACCTTCTTTGAAGAAACCCAAATATGTGGTCCAAAAACACTGGCAAAGATTGGCATTCTTTCAAGACACTAAAAAGTATATCATCATGCTTGGTATCCGACATTGCCGATTTTTGGTGCCAATCCAATTCCGGTATTTATGTTGAAAAGTGAAATCTATTACAAATGTAAAAGTTTTGTGAGTAAATAAAAATTAATTGGGTTATGTAGGTATCAACCGACACTCTATAAACTCTAAACTGAACTCATACGGGACTGATTAAACTGTAAACGAACTAGCAGCCAGCTCAACAAAAAGCTAATTGTCAAGTGGCATGTGGCATCCATCAATCAACCCCACCAATCAAAAATCGATTTTTTTTTTGACAGCTAACAAAGTTCATACGTCAGTCAATAGCTTGGATGCGTTCGATAACTTAGTTCACGATGCATAAATCGTATACTTGCAGTTCGGAAGGTCGGAGTGTTCATAAAGTAGCTTTTTTCCAGTGACGAATTTTTAAGGTGCTCTACACCCGAAGTTTCACACTCTGGTGCTCCAAACAACTGTTGTTTTACTGGAACGCAACCTACTTTAGCGTCGTTTTTTTGATTCACCCATAAAATTGCTGGTGCCTGAGAGGGCAAGGAAGAGCAAAAACGAATAGATCAGTTGCGCGAAACTCTGGCACTAAAACGCCTAAAAACAGCCCTGGGCTGCGTTCAGGAATGGCTACAACCACCGCATACTCTAGTCATAACCAGTATGACCACGATTGGAATAAAATTTAGGCTGAGCTCAAGGTTCCTATTGTCAATAAATTATTAATTAAATTAAATAAATTATCTGGTTAGGGTAAACCGATGACGTCATCAGGAGGAACTTATGAAAATTTGCCTTATATTCGGGCTCCCCAGATAACGTCATATAACAGTTGAGGTGCTGAGGTGCTTTCCAGTGACCCATTTGAGTTACTCCTGAGTAGCTCAGGAGTGCTCCACAATTACTTTGCGCGTTCCAGTGCTTTGAGTGTCGTACACTTGAACTACTCATTTCTGTTATCCCCTGCCCCCTCGTGCATCAACCTTTATTTCGGTGTTTCATGCTCCTGAAGTGCGAAATGGCGGGGGTTAAGACGAGAGCGTTCCAGTGCTGCCTACGTCGAACAGTACAAGAGCATCGCACTCCAGGAGCATGATACTCTAACAATTTAGGCACTGGAAAGCAGCTCTGGCAAGCTACTAGTTTCAAACAACCTTGGGCTGAACTGAAAAGGTTACAAATCATACAGGATTATCCGCATGTGGCTAAATTTGGTTTTGAGATGGTCATTATGGCCATTTTGCTCACTACTACTACAGTGTCCTCATTCTTGAAACAGGAGAGCAGCGTTCCCAGTAGAACGAGTGTTCCGTCTTTGTTATTATATTATCAAATGCATATCGTTGAGAAAGACAGAACACCCCTTCTTCTGGGAACGCTGCTCCCCTGTGGGCTTGTGTAGATCAAATCTCAAGCCCTCCACCATGCCAAAGAACCAGCGATGACGTAGGCAGCGTGTCGTTTCTTGCCTTAACGTAGGGTTTTTGTAGAACAGATTATGATTTCGCAGGCTTTTGCTTTTGGATACTTGGTTAATGGTTTTACTCAATGACATGCTTCACTACATTAATTAGCATTCTAATGGTGCGTACGATTTGTCTGAACCGCAGGCCTATTCTCTATGAACAGCAACATAGCAACCAGCAACCGGTCGCTAGTTGCTTTTTTTAAAGGCCGTGGCTAAAGTAACAGAGGTGTTACTATTCTTTAGCAATTTAAACTAAGTACTTAAAGGTGATATTCAACAACATAACAATAATATTTTATTTTTTATAAACCAAAAATTTGAATCAACATATTGATAATACAAATCTTTTGTGAGAAAAACGGCGTCTCCATATTCCTATTCCTCACATGCCCTTACAAAGGAACGGGAGTGTAGGTATAGTTCTCTCCTGCAGGTGAAATTCGATTGTTTACCTTTTTATGAGTGTGCAAAGTGAAAATTCAGTTTTCCATTTTTAATCATTATTGGTATAAAATAATGGCCATCAACTTCAAGCATTTTTTTTCAGCAAATGAAGATAGGTAAGTAATTTCTTAATTTGGAGCTAAAACTATGATAATCTACAGCGAAAAAACTTCTGCCTAGGAAGGAAAATAATTTATTTTCCTCCATAGGGAGGCGAAATTACTATTTTCCTACCTGAAAAAAAGGTAACAAATTGTCACTTTCTGACAGTCATAAGAAAATGTGTCTTTCCTGCCTTGCCTATAATTGTGCCTGTTTTATAAGTATTCTATTCTATTCTTCAAAGTCAAGTCAGGTTATTTTTTATTTATTTCCATTTTTACTCTAAAACAAATGCCAAGAACCAAGAATATCACCTTTACTTTAAATTGCTAAAGAAAGTAATTACCTATCTACATATTGCTACGTTACTTCAAGAAAATAATTAGAGTAACACCTCCGTTACTATTAACCCCAGTGCTGCCACAGGTGGCCCCATATGGCCAGATCTGGCCCTTTCTAAGACGGAGTGGCCCGTTGGCCACTCTTTTCCGAATCTGGCCCGTTTCTCCATAACATGCCAAATCATTATTTTTTTATGCAAAATAAGCGTTTTTGGGCGTGGCACACGAAAAAATTTTCAGGCAGGCTTTCTCTCTTCTTTTTCATTTGTCGAGGGTTTGCCCAAAAATCTCAAATCTGGCCCCTTTTAAATTCATAGTCTGGCACGAAATTTTCAAAGCCTGTGGCAACACTGATTAACCCCTATTAAAAGTAACGTTTTCATCAGTGACAACATTGAATTGATGTTACTTTAAAAAAATAATTATAGTAACACCTCTGTTACTTTAGCCACGGCCTTTTTTAAATGGAAAACTCTCGTCAAATAGCGATTTGACAGCGACAATTGCGCAATTCTCTCGGTTGCAAGTTATAGAATAAGGGAGGATTTTCATGCATCCGTTTTTCCGTCGAAATATGTCCGAAAAGTCTTCTATTTTGACATATTTATATACGATTATGTCAGAATAGAATGTTAAACGGACATATTTCGTCGGAAAAACGGATGCATGAAAATCCTCCCTAAAGCCTAGTACCACAGCTAGTACTCATAACTGCGAAATTCGCATTTTTTTGACATTGCGTTGACAATTTGACGTTTTATGCGTATCTCAAACGTCAAACTGTCGAAGCAATGTCAAAAAAATGCGAATTTCGCAGTTATGAGTACTAGGCTTAAAGCCTAGCATGAAAATCCACCCTAAGGCTGCCGGTTAGCGTTAGTGCGGTGCAGGTATGTTTTGGAACGCAACCATCTGAACTACACCGGAAAATGTACGCTGCACGGTACGAATGTTGTAAAAAGTGCGCATTAATGACGGGTCAGGGTAAAAAGTGTCAGTAGTTCGGACTTATCGTACGCACCATAAAACGACGCTTTTAACATTTCAACCCGAAGCGTGTCGCAGTGCTTGCGTCTTGCCGGCAAACAGCAGCGCGCAGCAAGGGTTCAAGGGTTATATCGTAATCTGGGCGGTCAAAATTGAAAAAAAAAATTAATTTGGGTATTATGGGATACTACTGAGACAAAAATCATAGCGTGTAGAGTTTGTTCTGTTAGATGGGGATTTCAATAAAATAATAGATATTTACCATACAAGTCATATGGCAGCATACTTAAGATACGCATGTGGAAGTTATACAACGAGTGCCAACGAGTGCGTAGCACGAGTTGTTTATTTGTGTCCGATGGATGCAAGGATTGCGAAATATGTGAATTTTTTAGATCTCTCTCGACGCATCTTTCTTTTTGCCTATTATGTTAAACAAAATTGAAAACCAAACTACGACCACTGCCGCAAACTGCAAACAGCCTACGACGTAATTGATGACGTCGCAATGGTGCCACACAATATGGAAGCGATTACCAAAAACGAAGCCGATAAGCAATTCTGTGCAGTAGTGTGTATTATCCTTGCATTTTGCCTAGTTGTAAATCAAATCAAATTTCCATAAGCGCACAACACAGTGCAGTATCTGCTGACATCGACGCTGAACATCTACCGTCACGTTTTCGAACGCGTTGTTCTTTCTCATGTTCTGGCGCATTCACCCAATATAAACGTTAAGGTGAGTTTACATATGCATGGATTTAGTGGCGCCAGTGATCGCGCCATCAGTTCTATTTGCACGCCAAAAAATTTACACCTATGATTTACACTTTGTATGAAAAACAGAAATAAGTGGCACGCCAGTTTCACTTTTAAAGTGTTTTTCTCAGTGCGCACTATGTGAGTGAACTTTCCGAAGCCTGTAAAATAGTCGCTAAACTTTTAGTGAAAAAAAAAAATAAAATCAAAGAAATACAGAAAAAGAAACGCATCCAACGAAAAGGCCGTTTCTGGGTTAAACCATGGATTGGTCGTCGACCTACTTTGGGTGCTTCTAGGAGAAATCGCAGCAACCGAAATGAAACTCAATCGAAAAACTGGCGAGCGGACGCCGACGTGCAAGCACTTGTTTACATATGCAAGTTTTGCTTTTCTGTACGGTACGAATTTGTCACCACTGGCGCCAGTGATTTCAGAAGAATGCAGACTTTTTTGGACTATGCATGCAAAAATAAAATGTGTATGCAAGTCCATAGTCCATATTTACACTTGCTATAAAATTTACTGGCGCGCCAGCTTCCAGCTTTTATTGGCGCCACTAAATCCATGCATTTGTAAACTCACCTTTAGTTAAACCGTTGTTAAAGGGTCGAATTTATAGTCGCTCCTTGAAGTTTCCTCAGACCTTAAGGAATCCTTGAACGTTTAGAATTGACATGACTAACTTGTCAAATAGTAGGAAGTGTCCATTCTAAGCTCACGACCTCCAAGGAAGACTCAAGGAACGACTATAAATTCGGCCCTAAATGCTTCAACTTAACGATTTTTCGGCTGAACTTCAAACCATTTTTGCCGCCACTGTCAGTCTGTCACTCTCAACCAATGAACTATGCGCAGGAGCGAAGCCATTACTAGACACTTTAAGCAGGTCCTGAATTTTCAACGTATCCGTATCCACATCGATCTGCGCATGCACAGAATAGATACGATGGTTTCGTTGCGTTGCGTTAACCGTATCGTTACGGGCCTCTTCTCGTATCCGTATCCGAAAACGTATCTCAATAATTTGACACTATTGAAAGATCTTCCTGTCGATTATCACTAAAATATCTTCAAAAACATAAACACAGTACTTATAGATAAAAAGAAAACCTACAAACACAGCTACAAAATCAATACAACACTTTTTGAGGTTAGAAAACGTTTCATCCAAGGATACGATCGTTTACGTAATGTATGTCCATGCTTAAAAGGACTTTTAGGCGGTCAACGTAAG